TAGAAAATTTCAAATGCCCTGGCTACAAGACCTACACGAATCCATGTAGTGAGACCCATCTTGGACAACTAATATTAGTCAAACAGGGCGTTACACACAGACTGATTGATGCGAAGCGATTCAACAGGGAGGACAGGGAAGTCCAAATTGTAGAGTGTGAGGTGAGGAAGAGGAAATGGACGCTTGTCAACATTTATGTGGACAATAACAGTGCCAGGATAGAGGAAGATTGGGACTTCCTGGAGGAGCTCGGCCAACTGAGTGAAAGGGTGATGATCGTGGGGGACTTCAACGTCAGGAGTGTCACATGGGGAAATGTACACGATAACATTCAATGAAAGGCGCTGGAGAGGGCGATGATAGAGAGCAGTTTTTCCATCCTCAACGGATCACACATGACAAGGATTGCACAGCGCAATGGAGACGATGATTCCAACATAGATTTGGCATTGATTACAGCTGGTTCGGAGGTCCTTGCTAAATGGCAGGCTCTGTCAAACCATGGAAGCGATCATCTGCCTTGTTCCGTAACGATCAATTGACACGAGGGGAAGGATGAAAAATGCAAAATGAAAAAAAACATTCAGATATGGAAAGGATAGTGGCTCTATTGTGCTGAAAAAAAGGAGAGAGGCTTGGGCATCACGCGCAACTAAATCAAACTTCGTTCTGCCGCCTTATTGGAATCCTGTGCTTGAAGAGCTGTGGCTACAGAAGAGAAGGTCAGCATGAGCATGGCATAGGGCGAACAAATCAGATAAGGTATCAGACGAGGAGAAGAATCCTCTGACAGAGCGGATGAAAAGAGACGGGCGGCTTTTCAGGGAAAGTGCAAATGAGGCCAAGCAGGAACGGTGGGAGCAGTATGTGACCGAGGTGTCATCCGAGAAGGCACTACACAGGTTCTGGAAAATGCACAGAAAAATATAGGGATTAAGGATTGACGCTGGCTCTCTGTCTGTTAAAGATGAGAACGATAGGCTACAGGAGACAGATGAGGCAAAAGGCCGGACTTTCCTTGAGAGGTACATTAAGCAGACTCACTAAGGCAACACGGAGGAGCGTGCTAACATCGGGGCAATTATGAAAACTGCTGTGTCAGAGGTGCTGTATGGAGAGGGTGTCACAATACAGGAAGTGAAGCGGGTAATAAGCGGAACGAAGGATAGTGCAGCAGGCCCTGATGGAGTGAGATACAGCCATTTTAAGGATGCAGATGAAAAAGATCTACAGGGCATGGTGGAGGACTTCAACGAGAGTCTGGCCAAGGCAAGATCCCAGAGGAGAGGCTACCCAGCTACCTTATGCCTTTTCATAAACCAGGCAAAGACCACTCCAACATCACGGGATACCGAATCATCACCATGCAGAACACGTACGGAAAGATCCTGGAAAAGATTGTGGCCAAAAGGCTGGCAAATTACCAAGAGAGGAAAAAGCTCCTTCAAGACGGCCTTGGAAGCTACAAACCGGGGACAGACACATGCTCAAACACGGCTGTGATAGCCTTTGATGTATTTGAAGGGTTCCACAGAAAGGAGGAGAAAGCAATGGCTGCTAGAGACATAAAGGATGCTTACAACCGAGTTGATTACGGCAAGCTCATGGATCTCCTGCTGGAAATGGATGTTGTCCCCTGGATGATACAAAGGATCTCCGAGGCTCTGTTTGAGAGGAAGGTGGCGCTGAGAAGTGGGCGATGGATGTCAGACCCAGTAGTGATTGCCTCAGGACTGTCACAAGGATCAGCCTTATCAACGGTTCTGTTCAACATATATACATCCAAAATTGCCAGGATCGGTGTCAGTGGAGCAGGAAGAATCCTAACATTGGCAGATTTTGTGATGATCTACGGACAAGGTCGTGATAGGCTTGCGGTTGGACAGATGCTACAGGACGGGCTGAACAAGGTCGCAGATTGGTGTGAGGAATACAATGCGGTCATCAATCAAGACAAAGCACGGGTTATCTGGTGCTCACTTAACAACCGTATTGTGAAAGACCACTTTCTCATAGACAGACTGCATGAGCTGAAGTATCTGGGAATCACACTAGACAGGACACTTTCTTTCCGAAGACATATTGACAATGCTGCGGTCAGGGCTCAGAAGGGCATCATTGTAGTGAAGACCTTGGCTTCAGCGGGAATTCAACAGAGAGTTCTTTTTCTCCTAATGCAGCGGGTGGTTCTGTCAGTCAAAGACTATGGTCTGGGCATCCTTTCCCTGTCCAAGACCCAGATAGACAGGTTGGAGAGAGTACAGAATGCAGCTATGAGGGCTGTTCTAGGTTGCACAGCGAACACCCATGTTGTCTGTATGAGATAGATCCTTGACCTGGCCAGCATCAGAGTGAGGAAAAAGGTGGCACAGGCAAAATAGTACTTGAATGTTTTGGGAGACCTAAGCATGACAACCTAAGCAGCATCAAAGGAAACAGGATCAAACGGGGCAGCTCATGGATGGCAGAAGCCGAAGAATCCTTGAGGAAAGTTTGTGGCATCGATGAAATATGTTGTGGAAAGGAATAGTTTGAACAGAGCCCTGATTGCAGAATCCTGACCATCGTTCACATCACTATGGGTCGTGAAAGACGGGAATGTGCTGCTGTCATTAACGACAATGACATACGACAGTTAATTGAGGAGCATTCCAAGCCAGAGGGCCCAGTGATCTATACGGAAGGATCGGTCAGGAGGGGCGAGAGAGGTGGATGGGGTTTTGTGGTGTATAGTGGGAACAAAAAGGTTCATAGCATGTCAGAGGCCATAGAAAGAACAAATTCAAGCATGAAAATGGAGATTAAGGCCGTAACAAGAGCGCTTGGCCGGCTTCAAAATACAAAACCAAGAACTACCCATCTCTTCATTGTCACAGACTCCCAGAGCATCTTACGAAGGGTTGAGAAAGGGCTTTTTCGGAGTGAATGGACGAACCCAATACAACACTCGTCACTTAGAGCCATCCTGGGCACTCTGGAGTGAAAGGCAATGAGGAGGCTGATAGGCTGGCAGGCAGAGATGTGGTTGATGGTGAGGTGAAATTTGACAAAGGAGAAGTGTTGAAGACCCTGAAGACAAAGTTGCTGGATGAAGAAGACAGGGAGACAGCAGAACACAACGCAATCATTAGGATGCGGGAAATGGGGATAGAGAGGGGAGAAGGAAGAAAGGAACGATTATCTGGAAAGGAAAGACGTCGCCATAATCAGACAGCCACCGGAACACTCAGTATGGATACCTTGTGGGCTTTGGTGTTGGAAGGGGGGGGGGGGGGTCGGAGCACCAATGGACATGTCCGGTGTGCAATGACATTGTTGCCCAGGACAGGAAATAACAGGAAATAACAGGTTATCTATCTATCTATCTATATATCTATCTATCTATCTATCTATCTATCTATCTATCTATCTATCTATCTATCTATCTATCTATCTATCTATCTATCTATCTATATCTCTGTCGGGCTGGTAGGGTAGCATTCATACCCCTCAAAATCCGAATAAATACTTTGTGTTCTTTTCTGTATTATTCTCCGTCGATCTCACGATTGAGGAGGCTCTTTTGAAAAAGAAAATAGACCTTCAAAATCTCAAAGCCCGAAGACAGTCTTTTAGAAAGACATAATTGTTTCTGGTACGGCGCGAAACGAGCGAATGCCCAATCTCTCCCTATCAGTCATTCTGTTTTCTTCCTGTCAGTTTTTAAATCAGTAAATTCTCAACTTATTTCTGATTACTATTTACGTCTGTCGCCTACGTGACGGTGCTATATTCAGTATGTCTATTCATATTTCACGTTTTTCTATTTAATATCATACTAGCGAAGTGTGGGTACATAACTAGAGCTTGTACGCAATTAATTGCAATTAATTCCTCATCATCAGCAACAATAATAATAATTTCAACAAACGTGCTTAACAGTACCTAGCAAAACAGATTAATAATAATAATGAAAATAATAATAATAATAATAATAATAATAATAATAATGATAATAATAATAATAATAATAATAATAATAATAATAATAATAATAAAGGTAACAATAATGATGATGATAATAATAATAATAAATATAATAATAATAATAATAATAATAATAATAATATACCAATAACAATAATAATAACAATAATATAAACAGTAATGAGAATCATAATAATGAGGATGTTAAGAACAATGATGATGGCGATGATATCGATTTAAAAAATAGAAAAATAAAGAATGTTTATAGCAATAATTATACAACGCCTATATCTTAATAAATATAACAATGTTATTATGTTTACTTGGTCTGAGAAAGCCTCCTCGTGTCTGAAACACTCTGCCCTCCTCCTCCAATCTGATTCAATCTCGCCATATTCTCGTCTCCACATTCCCTCTGTCTCATTCTGTTCTTATCTGTCTGCAATCTTGGATATGAACCCGTTTCTTTTAGCATCACCTGAAGACAAAACATTCATAAAGCAGACATAGAACGCCATTCACCAAATTATTATTCCGAGTCCTATCTTGCCGTCA